TTGCCACTATTAAGGATCAGAAACCTACATGATGGGTTAGGGCCTCTTAGGTAAAGCATCTATTTGACAATGAACACAAAGGAATTACTTACCTCTTAATGTCAAAACACGGGGAAAACTATCAAACTGAAATAACATGCCATTGGCTATACAACTGATCTAGGGGAAAATTTTTTCAACATTTATCATGTAAGTAAATTAATCAGCCAGAAGGGAAAGTCACTAACCTAAATGATTTATCTTCTCTGGCTCTATTTTTTGCCTCTTTATCTTCCTGACTCTGCTGAAATTACCATGGATTTCAGGAATAAAAAGACTGATCATAAATGCACTTAAGGGACCAAAACTACCACTCAGCAAGTTGGATAGACTAACCTCCCATCTTCAAGGAGGGCAATTTCCTATGATAATAGGTGGTACCTAGGAGCAGGAGTAATCACCTTCTGGGGACCAGATGTTTCCTCTCAAGTGATGAGAGGTAATAACTTTTTTGGGGGATGGGGAGGAGATCAGTCATGGGGCATGAACTCAGGGCCTGGGCACTATCCCTATGCTCTTTTGCTCAAGGCTAATGCTCTACATCCTTGAGTCACAGCATCACTGTTTTTTCTGGTGGCTAATTGGATAAGTCTCCTGGACTTTCATTCCTAGGCTGGCTCTGAACCATGATCCTCAGATCTCAGCCTTTTGAGTAATTAGCCTAACAGGCTCAATGAGCCACTGGTACCCAGCAACAACAACTTCTTTAGAAACCCTTGAGGAACCAGAACTAAGATAATAATTGATCATACCATTGGCCTGGCCTAGATTACCTGTTCTGTTGGTTATTTATACTAACTACTCCTTTACCTTTTCTATATTCTGAGTTCCTCTTTGCCCCTTGAGATGTACTTTAGGTCTGATATGTTCTTCCCCACATGACCAGATTAAAAGTCCTTTCTCTACCCTTTACCACCACTCATACTTGGGGTATTGGCATGGGTGGCCTAGACTAGTCTATTTGGACTCACTGAACAGGGGCATTTGCTCTAAAATTCCAGTAACAAGACAAAAAAGCAAAGGCAGTATTATGATGAAGGTTAATAGAACACCTTAATGTTCCAAACATGATATCTGTAATCTGAAACAGAATTTTGAAGACAATGACTTAGATTCTAATCCAATGGAATTCTAGGAATAGAGAATCAGCAAGATTTAAGCTGTGATGCCTTTCTGGTTTGGATTTTGATCATTTACCTGGCTCTATTATTTCTAGATTTTTGAGAAAGATCAATAATTATGAACATTTAGTGGCTATTTAAGTCACAGCTTTCATGGACAGTTTTTACTACAGTCTAAATTCTTTGGCTGCTGGTGGCTCATGCCTGTAATCATGGCTACTCAGCAAGGTGAGATCTGAGAATCATGGTTCAAAGCCAGACCAGGCAGAAAGTCTGAGAGATTTTATTTTACAATAATTAATATAACTTAGTCAAAGTGGTAGAGTGCTTCTAGTCTTTTTTTTTT